AGAAATTAGTAATTCGAGGTTATGAGTTTGGAATTCCGTCATTCAACGATTCCTATTGAATTTACCGTTTATCCTTGTCTATCTTATTGTCACTTTCTCTATTTATCCATGGTTACCGGAGTTTTAATAATTACGAAGCAACAGGTATTTACGTAATGTGAATTAGGCCAGGGGCGGATCCAGCTTTAAAGTCAGGTTATCTATGAAATTAGAAAAATGATCGTTCTTTTGTGCAAGGGTGGCGCAAGATTATTGCAAAATGTCATGTTTTCCGTCCCGTTTTGCATGTTTCTCGGAAGGAAAATGAGCAAGAACGCTCGTTTTTACATCATTCCAGAGATACCTAAATGGCCTTTATTCGAAGTTTCTCAAGAACCATTCGAGCCACAGAATTCGTTTTGACATCGTTAGATAGTTGGATAGGCAGATTATCTTGAAAAACATTGTTGCCGTTTTTCCGAAATTTCTCAGTTTTTAATAACAACTGCCAAACAACACCTCCAGAGGAATGACGCCAATTTTGAATCACCCTGTATAATAAAAAAAAGCACACAACGGGAACCAACAATGGTAAACCAAATAATTTCTTATATTTTAATTTAATAATCTGCACGCTTATCCAGGATGTCAATCTGAAGATTGGGAGTCAAAGAAGGGAGCAAAAACAACAATAAATCCTCCGTTTTTCTACGGAGCCTCTCAAACGGCCCCATATTTTGGGCATTTAACAGTATCAGAAAAACTCCAATAATAACAAAAGTTAATGTTAAAAAAAACTCAGTATTTCAGTGCAATTTTTGTAAGGAATATACAATCACTTGAGCGGCTTAGGGATTATTCCTGCTGCTTTCGGCCCCCAATTGCAATTGCACTTTGCTGCAAGCTTTCAGGAGGAAAACCAACAGATAAATCCGTCGGTAAAAGGCCTTAGAAGTTAGAAGACTTAGTTTAGATTTTCCTTTATCAATTCCGGTCGAAATAGAGTCACGATATTTGCGAATGAATAATTCTCGAGATTCGCCTGCAGTTGGTCGATTTTTTGCCTTCCCGGTTGCGTTCCCTTTAGTTTGTTGTGGCTCGAAAACAATTTGATTATGGAATCTGGAAGTACTTTTGCCTTAAACTATTGCTTTGCAGTCAGCTTCTAAATACGTACCGTACAGCCTATTTAAGTAATTTGGGTATCTGTTGAAATGCTCATTCAGCTCATTTCCTTTCTTCAGTATCGTGCGATATTTATCCGACAGATACTTTCTGATTTCTTCTTCGCCAATTTCCAACTCGTGCAATGCTTGATAGAGTTCTCGGTCTTTCAGGAAACTTTTATGTTCGAGAAGTTGCGGCTCGATGATTTTCAGCACATGATTTATGCAATCATCATTGATCTCTTAGAAGGAAAACGTCGTTATTGGATACTATTCAGAGGATTTTTTTGAATATTTTATATAAACTATTAGAGTAACTGCAAAAGAATTTGAAAAAGCTACTGAGCCATACACAGTGACGCTTAAACAAGGACATTTAAGATACATTTCTTTGCGGTATAATCGCAGTTGATAAAAGAACCTTTCTCTCAACTTCTTTCTTTCAGCGTTCGGCTGATTTAATTTGCATTCCGAACTTTTTGTCATACTTTTGCTCTGTTTTCATCCTTTTTCATAAAATGAGATACCCTGTATATTATGGCAGAGCTGGATTGACCAGATGGGTCTGATTATTTCCGTTTAACCCTTCCTACACCTGTCAAAACAGTTTTCAAGAAAATTTGTAAAATTAATATACAGGGTGTGCCAAAAGTAGTGGCACAAAAAAAACAGCTGATCCCTGGTGTGGAAATATGATGATTTAACACAACTTATCTTAGTCCAAAAGTTGACGGTTGCAGGATACAGGGTGTCAAACTTACATTTTAATTTCAGTTTTTCGTTTTTCTACTTTGAACAGAGCTGCATATTTTAACTAAATTTAGTATACAGGGGTTTTTGAGCATAAGAAATCCAAATGTTCCATCAGATGTTGATCGACTAGTAGAAAAAGTTACTTGCGGCGATAAAAAATGGTTTCAACTTTTTGGTCACCCGGTATGCTGACTTCTAAAATGGTTGGGTCGAATCGCCTATTCATTTTGCAAAATGCAGTGCTGATAAATCCTGTGAGCAGTTTCAAATCGTCTTCTGCTTATTTCTGGATTTTCTCCAACACCAACCTGAACGTCTTCCTCTTGTTCCGGAGTGAAAATTTTCTTATATTAATATATAATATCTTGCATAAACGCATTTCAAAATGTATTGAAGTTAACGGGGGACATTTTGAGCAATTGCTGTAGAAAACGGATGTTCGATTTTTAGTGATTAATATAATAATATCCTACTGTTAAAGAATGATGTTTAATATATATTTTTCACTTAGTGGCTTATTTTTTTTGAAATACTGCATTTTGTTTAATCGCAAATGGGGCTTGTTGCGACATCCTCTAAGAATACCTTTTTTTGTGCAAAATTAATAGACCCAACCATTTTAGGAGTCAAAATACCGGGTGACCAAAAAGGTAAAGCAATTTTTTTGCCCAGATATCGCCGTAAGTGGCTTTTTCTACAAGTTGATCAACATCTGATGGCAGATTTGGATTTCTTATGCTCAAAAACCCTGCATACCAAATATTTTGCGGTTTAATCGCAAATATCTCGAAAACAGAAGTTTGTTGGGACATTGACTCAATATTTTTTTTGTGCAAAATTAATAGGCGATTAGACCCAACCATTTTAGAGGTCAGCATACCGGGTGACCAAAAAGCTTAAACCATTTTTTTGCCCAGATATCGCCGTAAGTGGCTTTTTATACAAGTTGATCAAAATCTGATGGCAGATTTGGATTTCTTATGCTCAAAAACCCTGCATACCAAATATTTTGCGATTTAATCGCAAAAATCTCGAAAACAGGAGCTTGTTGGGACATCGACTCAATATTTTTTTTGTGCAAGATTAATAGGCGATTAGACCCAACCATTTTAGAGGTCAGCATACCGGGTGACCAAAAAGTTAAAACCATTTTTTTGCCCAGATATCGCTGTAAGTGGCTTTTTATACAAGTTGATCAAAATCTGATGGCAGATTTGGATTTCTTATGCTCAAAAACCCCTGTATACCAAATTTCGTTCGCTCGATTCAAAGTAGAAAAAAAATGGTGTGCCTCACGGGACGCTCGACAGAAGTGATAACTTCATAAATTAATAGAAAGCATAAAACATTGAACTTGTTTAACACATGATGGCAATAATAATTTTATTTTATAATTTTAATACTCTTGTTAGTCTAATAATTTATAAATGGATCAGGGATAGGTAAAATTTCATCTAGTTTCCTTTTGAATGTAAAATATCGTTTTTATTTGCAACATTTAACATTCTTTAACGAGATGTTGTACATATTGCTCTTCTTGGGTTTGTGTAAACTCTTCTTTTTGAGTTTCTGTATTTTTTAGTCGTCATTTTTTATTTGCTTTGTATAATCTTTGACGTTCAGCACTAGTTCGTGGTTGATGAAAGCTAATTTGAGTTGATCTATTACTTAATGCTCCTTTTTTAGCACAAAATCGTTTTTGGCGTTCAGCATTACTTAATACTTTTCGCATTGTAGCATGTTTTTGTGACTGCTTTTGAACCTGTGCTACAACCTGTATCTGAATAGGACTAAAAAATCAATTAATTTTGGTGATTGGAAGATGTTCTATCTGTTTAAAATAGACGGTAAAACGAGGAAGAGCTATAGAGACAGGATACAATTGACATACTATATGTATACATAATGTAAACCATCGCGCGTATGTTCAAAAAAAAATTGTAACTGAACTAATCCAAGGCTAAAAACATTAACTAAATTGAATAGGCATTTAGTACATGAGCACCCTTAACCTAGTATTTGCCGTATCTGCAGCTTCTCCCTTGATAATATGTTGATCAATTGTTATCAGCGTTATAAAATAAACTGCACCGAACACAATAATATCACACTCAATAATTGATAAATCAAAATCACTGTCAGTTTAATAACGCAAT